CTCATATGTATGGGTTCCGCCAAAAAGTCGTCTCGCGAGCTCGCGCACTGCGAACGCGGCCCAGGGTGCCCCCACGGCCTGGCCCAACAGCTGCGAGGGCCGCCGCACCACGCTGGAGGCGCCCGGGCGGCCCCCGCCCGCCTACCCTATACCCCAAATCACCTACCCTATACCCCGACCGACGGCGGCCGCTATTCGTAGAAGAGCGCCCTCGTGATCTCTGCCACGCTTGGATTAGGGCAGTGTACCGTAGGAGACTTGGCTCTATGCTACTCTCCATATAGTGGAGGGGTGTATTCTACAGGATATACAGGTATAGCCCGAGGCAGGTGGTGCGTTAGATTTTAAACTAGTTATACGAACGATACTGGACTTGGCCATAGTATTCCATACAAGCGTAAACTACTCGCCAATAACCTTTGAATCTTTGCACTTAGCCCTCTGCTAATCCTATCTACGCATATAACGCATATGGAGCTCTAGATAGCATTTGACGAAGTTATGTACCCAGAGCTTGCCGCGTCACGTACGCGTAGCACTTGATTGGCCATATCTTCCGCGCCACGTAATCTTGGTGGAAAAGCTCGCTCAAATAGCTCAATAATATATTGAACAATAGCCTTCTCTTCGAAATCGGTAAGTCGGCGCGACTTAGGCGTAGTGTCGCATCGGGGAGGCCGGCCAGCGTGTCGGTCACGGAGAATGTTATATAGTATATTGTACCGCTGATCTGCAGCTCGGAGGCTTAGTTTTGGCGACGAATCTCGAAGCCCCAACTTCTGAAATGGACTCCTGAAGGTTAGAACTTGTCAACGGGGTGAGGTTCGGTGAATGTGACGAATCTCAAAGCCCCAACTTCTGAAAGGGACTCCTGAAGGTTATACTTGACAACGGGGTGAGGTTCGGTGAAGCCAAAGGGTTCACAACAAGCAATGTCCAAGGGTACTGACAATCTTGCACTTGAGTTGCTTACTGGAGAACTCCCAGAATCCTCCAGAACGGGTGACTATGTACTAGATGCATTTGGTTGCTCTTTCGTGCTCTCTAGAGCCACCTAGAGCCAATGCTCTATGTAGCTCTCGAGAGCCTCTTAGATCGTCCTCGATTGGCCTTGCACTGGTGCTCTCTCATGCTCCTGCGAGCTCTCTGGAGCACCTCTAGGACTCGTTCCGATTGGTCCTAGTTGATTGGCTCGGAACGTCCTACGTTCCCCACTGGCTTCTGCAAGTACGCCGCCGCTGTTGGCTCTCGTTGGTTCATTTGTGACAGTGAAGCCAAAGGGTTCACAACAAGCAATGTCCGAAAGGCACTGACAATCTGCATTAGAATTGTAACGGTCCCTGGAGTATCTTGCAACTAGCTGGTGACGACTCTACGAGTTTGTCTCGAATGGAGAGAGAGGAAGAAAAAGAGTGAAGGATGTCACGGCGATTGCGCCGTGCCTGCCAGGACCCACTGGTGGGGACCAGCGTGTGGGGGCCCCTGCGGGTTGAAGATCCTGCACCTCGCTGCCGCGAGTTCTGCCGTAGCTCCTTGAGCTACGTCTTGACCATCAAACCTCCCCGTACCTGACGGAATAGAGCCCAGACTGTAGCTTAGCCCGCATACAACTGCCATTGGACTATCAGCCTGTCCCACCCGTGACAAAAGACTATGCAAGATACCTGCCGTCTTATACCTCCACATCCTTGGCCTGTGCGCCGATATCGACCAAGATAGAAGTCCACCGAATCTCGAGTCTTGGCCGAGCGTTTGCCGAGGCCTTTACGGGCTCAGCCCGTTACAAGAATTGCTTACTGAGGAAGCTACCGTGATGCCCGTAGGCCTAAAGATCGTGAACTATATACTCAGTTTCCTACTGGATCACTTGTAGCTCGCCAGTGATCCTCAGTGATCCTTGGTGCGGGATCATCAGCGTTCACCAATGCTCCTTGGTGATCTTCAGGCGGGCTCACTGCTGCCCCTGAGTGATCCCTCGTGATTGGTCTGACGTCTGGTTACGTCGGTTGGTTCTGAATGCTCTCTAGACGCCCCACCAGGTCGCTGCATGTGGTCAGTTCGTGACATTTCTTCATCAATTTTAAATAGCTTGAAGGGCTAGGATTATCCTAGCTTCCTTTGAAGTACCAGGCATAGTTATTGATTTATAGAGAAGGCCGACATTACGTACAAGATTGACGCGTCGCGCTGAAAAACTAGTCGACGCGCTTGTATAGTCGACTCGCTTACACGTCACAAAATAAACTTACATCTTGAAACGGTCTCAGGTAGTATATTGCAACTAGCTGATGACGACTCTACGAGTACACTGAACTTGGAGAAGAAAAGGAGAGACGACAGACTCTGGTAGCTCGCAAGCATACTTATCCTCGTCGGCGCGCTGGTCTGAGCGCGTTGCTAGAAGGTTCGGTGTGCTGTGGGGCGAGTGGGAATAGCCTCATCAGGGGTCTTGGTATTGGCCGAGGGTCGCCGAGGCTCGCACCGGGCCCAGCCCGTTACGCATCTATATTTCCTGAGTTACTATGTGTGACGGCGCGTGCGACGGAGCCACCATGCCATTGTACTAACCTCCTCAAAAGGATGCCAGAATTTCAAGTCCACGGACTTGAAACTCCGAGGTGGCTTATGTACTGTTGACGGCAGCCCCTACTGCCGTCACACTATGCATCTATCTCTCAACCTTTATGTCAATTGACTAAGTGGTTATCGAGGTGCATCTATCTATTAAAGCCCATAATACCACCTCCTTCGTATAGCACGCTATTATCGACCTGTTCTTTATCACTGTTCTATAATCTGTAGTTTTAGTCGTCTCTACGAGGTGAGGAGCGTGCGCGAGACTGCCAAGAGCCCCCAAATATTAAGCACTAAAAGTCTAAGAGGTCGTGACTTCGAAACTTCGCAAATCTCAAACCACCCCTGAACCTATGATAACTATTCCAATTGCAGAATCCTTTGTATATCGCATACGGGGGGTCCTAACTTCAGCGACCAAGCTCTGTTGCATAACTGGTAACGTAGTAGCATAGTCTCAACTCATCGATTCAAAGTGCAGGAATCTACTCGCTAACTCCAATGCGATGAAGGTTGCATGGATATCCCATGGGAGCCCGACGTGCAAGAACTGTGTGTGCCACCTTCCTCTTTTCACAGATCGAAACAATGCCCCTGAAAAGCGATCCTGTGATAATTCCAAACACCATGCATATGAATGACAGCGTGTAGCAGATGGGTGATCACAGACACAATCTGTGGATTCCTAAGTTAGGTGTTCCTCGGCACGAGACCCCGGCTCACGGGGCTTAGGCTCCCACTGGGCGTACCGCAGCTTGATCTGGACACCACTGCCGCTCCTGTTCTCAATAGTGTGATGGAACCTAGTCCGCGCATCCGCAGGCACCTCGGCATTGTAAACTCGGTCGAATCGCTGGATCAGCCTGATTAGGATGTAGGCCGTTTTGAGGCGGGCAAGTTGCTCTGCGAATACCGTCAGTATCTCAACGCACTCGGAACAGTCTAGTAACAAGGGGAGAAGTGAGGAGTGACTTACGGCCGATGCATTGCCGAACACCACCGCCAAAGGGGACAAATTCAAATCCGGTCTTACGCCCAACATGATTGTTGATCCACCGCTCCGGTTTAAATTCCTGGAAGTCGTCTCCCCAAATATCAGGCCGCATTCCCAGGGCGTAGGTGGGAATTAGAATTTGCGTCCCCGCGGGGACAAAGACGGGCTGGTCTTTTTTTGGCCCACCACCGCGGGGCAAGGTGGTGTCGCGAAGAGACACCCGCTCGTTCAACGGGACCACGGGAGCAACGCGCAACGTCTCGTTGATCACGGCGGTCATGTACGGCATCGAATCTCGGACCATTCTGAACTCGATGCCGACCGGCTCGTCTGGTTTGTACGGCCCAAAACGGTCGAGGACCTCGGCGCGCAGCTTGTCCCAGACGGAGCGGTGGCGGGCCAAGTAGTAGACCACCCAGCTGAGGAGGGCGGCCGTCGTGTCCCGGCCAGCGCTGAGCACGTTGAGTGTCTGGCTGCGCAGGTCGACGGGATCCTGATTCACCTTGGCGAGTTCGTGAAGGAGGACAAAGCGCTCGCTGGTGGCTTTCCCGGCTTGGTGGGTCTGGAGATCATCCAGGTAGCTGTCTCCGCGGCGCAGGCGAAGCTCCACGAACCACTCGGCGTATTTGTGAACGGCGGCGCAGTGCTTCAGGAACCTCCCGGACGGCAGCAGCCAGCGATACTTCCAGAGAGCGCTCCGGGTCTCGACGCCAGCCTTGCCGGCGTCCATGTGCATTCCGATGTTTTCGCGGTCCGGGCTCTCAAAGCCGGGAAGCACCGGGAGCTCGACCCGTTCTGAGGGATCTTGCGAGTGCACCGAGTAGCCGTAGAGCATCTCGGTCATGACGTCGAGGGCCAAATTGTAGAACAGGGGTTGCAGGTCAAAGGCCCTGGTCCATCCGGTTTGACTCTTGCCAGCATGGTGATGCTTGTGGATGGCAGCAAGCAAATGCTGAACATGTCGCTCAAAGAGGTCGAGGTCATTGACCTGGTCCGTAGCGAACTGCGGGCGGATGAGGGCACGCGACGTTTTCCAGTACTCGCCGCGGGACGTGAAGATGCCGTGGCCAAACAACAGCCTCATGCTGTCAGCGCGAAACTCGCTGACGTCCCAGTCGGCCGATTGAGTGGCGAAGACGGCTTGGATGTTGGCGGGATCACGCGACACGATGAGCTCGTAGTCGACGATGGGGACGACGACAGTGTGCACATCTCTGCCCAGCTCGGTGTCAAAGGCTTCAACCACATGTTGGGGGTGCCGGTCGTCGCGGCTTGCTGCGAGGCCTTTGAGGAGATTGCCGAATCCCAAGAACCCCTTCCTGGGCATCCTGGGCGCGGGGCCACATCCTCGACGGATGGCTTCTTGCTCGTTGCGGCGCCTCTGCTCCCACTTCGAGTGTAGGGAGACCGTGATGCCGAGCACGACGATAGCCGGCAAGGTGTAGAACGGGAGGAAGCTGAAGAATGTCATCGCTGAGACGGTATGCTGGTTGAAAACCGCCTGTTGATTGTCTCATGGTTAGTACCTTTGTTACCCGGGCCACGTTCCACAAGACACGGACGAAAGGGGGAAGGACATGCTATGCGGAGTAATAGTAAACCTTAGGAAACGTGTGAATCGATGATAATCTGTGGGAAAGACGGCTCAATATGGGTGTGTCGCAAGGTTGCAGACCGTGATTGACCGTCCAACGAAGACGGGAATGTCGAGAGATGAAGAGTAAGGCGAAGGATGCGAGAGACCCAGAACATTGGACAGGCCGTGGCTACCGTTGATGTCTGGAGAGTGCAAACAATGGCAAGCACAAAGAGAGGATGCCCGGCGTGGTGTCCAGAAATGCCAAAAAGCAGCTGTTCCTTCTGGCCAGCGCAACGCATCTTGCAGCGGGTGCAATCCTCGAGTCCTCGACTTCCCATTTGGCCGGTTCCCTCCTTTTCCAGGCGCCACGCTCCTTCCTTTCCACAACATCCCGATGGCGATGGGCTGTTACCAGTCCATGGAGCTGCTCCTCCCTTCCCTGGGATGGCAACCACAACGGTTCTTGCCGGGGCGCTCCCACGTCGCCTTCCATTGAATTCCGACACCGGCGCATCATTAAAGCCGTCACTGGCCCTTCTGTCAACGAAAACTCTTCCTCAATTTCTTTCTCACCCTTCAAATTCAGCATCTTCCCTACGGTACTCCGTATTCGCTACCATACCGCATCGTCATTCGGAATCATCAATCATGTCACGACTCATCATTACTCCCAGCGTGCTCTTTGCATGGCTGATGACCGTACTTGCGCTGAGCGCAACAGCGTCTGCTCAAATGCAAGTCCCTCCCCACTACTCCGGCGAAGCCCAGAAGCTGGCCGATCCAAACCACGGGCACATTCCCGGCCAGTCGGACCACTACAGCAGCTACTGGGGTCTTGAGCGACCGTTCCCCGGCAACATCACGGATCCGATCTTTCCGACCGAACATGGGCCTCCGGGCGAGGACGACCATGTCTGGCAGGACTTGCTCGCTGCCGAGTGGATCATCTTCGAGTTCTACCAGCAAGGCATCGAGCGCTTTACCGACCAGGACTTCATCAAGGTCGGCATGCCTGCCCACACGCGTAGGCGTCTCATGGAGATACGCAACAACGAGGCTGGCCATCTCCGCATCTTCCAGAACCAGATCTCGCCAACCTCTGTCAAACCTGGCCGGTGCAAATATGCCTTCCCCTTGAGCGACCCCCTTTCGTACCTCGCTTTCACGACCGTCATTGAGATCTCGAGCATGGCATTTCTGTCCGGCCTCCTCCAAGAGGCCAAAAACGTGCGGAACCAGGGCGCCATGGCGGTGCTCTCCCAAACCGAGACCCGGCACGAGACCTGGCTGTTGATGGACATCTGGAAGGCGAATCCCTTCGCCGGACCGTCGGATACCGAGTTCCCGTACGCCGGCCAGATCTTGGAAAGCACTCGCAGCCTCATCGTCCCGGGAAGCTGCCCGCCAGAGAATCCGGAATATCCGCATAACCGCCAGAATCTGCCCGCCATTTTCGCGACGTACGACACCAAGACCGTGACCCCGGGGTCCACCATTACGCTCAACTTTACCGAACCGGATAACCAGCCCGCCTTTGACGCCAACACGCAGTATTATGCCGTCTTCGTTCACACCCTGCACAACATTAGCGTCCCAATTGACACCAAAGACTTCCCGCACAAGCCAATTGCCGTCACCATCCCAAAGGACTTTGAGACGAAGGGTGTGATCATGGCTCTGATCGCCAACCAGCCAGGCGCTCCCACCAAAGAGTCCGTCGTGGCCGGTCCTGCGGCAGTTCTGGAACAGCCGGCGGAAGTGGGCGCGGCGTTGGTGAACGGGGGTGCAGCTCTGCGACAGTCAGCGGGACGGCCAGCCGGCGTGAGGGCGCGCCAGGCAAACGGGGGCCAAGCCGGGGCCAAGGCTCTGACAAGTTTTTCTCTTGTACTCGGCACACTTAGTGTTGTTACTCTTTCTTTCTGGTAGTAAATAACAGGCGGATTCTCTTTGCTTCACTCATCTTTCTAGCTGCTTCCATGTCTCTCCAATTGATAGTGGTCGGATGTATTAAAAACAGCTAACGTGTTTGATAAGCGAGCGCCGCGGATAAGCGAGCGCCGCACTTTTACCTACCCTATAACAACTATCCTCAATTGCAACACACCAACACTAGGAACCAACTATAATGACATCAGAAACAGCTGAATCAGACGGTTCTCCAGCCTCCTGGCAAGTGCGTGCGTTATGGCCAGGCTTGCCGCAGACACCACAGCACCGAACCTTCGTGCGACCCCCACCTACACCACTCCCTTCCGGCTGTGTTTCTTGCAATGCCTCCCCGCCCACAGTCTTCTGGTTCAGCAAATCCTGTGCATCTTGTACGGAAAGTGATCCTCCAAGCTGCACACGTGTTTTTTTAGCTCTCCGGCGCTTGCTTAGTGCCTCATTGGCATTGCGGAGCGAAGAGACCTCTGACCGAAGGAGAGCCACCTCGTGCATTACAGCCATTGTACCCTTAGTAAGCTGGTCCACAGCAGCCAACATCGAAGTCGGGGAGCTATTTTGATGATTGGCAATGCGAGTCTTGATGAGCGTTGACTGCGAGTTGGCTTCTCGGGGGTTGTGTGGCGTCTGGAACACCAAAGGTTGTGGGGTGCTGGCTCGCGAGGTCAAGGGTGTTGGCGTACGAAGCCTCACATCCAGCTTGGAAAGCACCCTCTCTGGATCATATGGCACTAGGCCAGCCCCTGCAAAGCCACCCTGTATGTTCTTCTCCGTTATGGAGGCAAAGAAGGCCTCGCGGAAGGCACAGAGGAATTCGAGCTTGCTCACGTGGTTGATATGCGCGCGCATCAAGTCCTCAATCTGGCGACCGTACGCCTGCTTCAGTGGCCCAAAGCAGCCAACATCGAGTGGCTGGAGCTTGTGGGAGGAGTGCGGAGGCATGCAGAGCGTGATGATGTTGTTCTGCCGGCAGTAGAGCTCGAATTCGGTCGAGTGATGGCTTTCGTGGCCGTCGAGGATCAGTAACCGGTATTTGCCCTTTGTCCGGGACGCCGTATGGCGATCGAAGTGCTTGATCCAGTCGAGGCCTACTGCATTGTTGGTCCAGCCATTGTCGGTGGTTGCGATGTGCCAGTCGGCCGGGAGGTTGCACTCGGTGTACCAGTTGGCGAGGTGATACTGAGCGGCCAAGATGATGAACGGCGGGATGGCCCAGCCGAAAGCATTGACTCCCTGGATCACCGTTGCCCATTCGCGATTGCCAGGCTGAGCCAGTTTCGCCTTACTCAGGCCGTCCGAGGTCGTGACCACCATACCCGCGAAGATGATGCCCATGATGAACCCGGTCTCATCGAAGTTGTAGATATCATCCTCTACAATGCCGTACTTGGCTATGGTATTCCGTACAAGCGCAAACCACTCGCCAATGACCTTTGGATCCTCGCATTTAGCCCTCTGGTAGTCGTACCGACGCGTATAACGCGTACAGAGCTCTGGCTGGCGTTTGACGAAGTTGTGTGCCCAGCGTTTGCCGACAGGAGGCGCGTCGCGTTCGCGGAGCAGTTGGTTGGCCATATCCTCCACACCACGCAACCTAGGCGGAAATCCTCGTACAACTAGCTCGATGACATATTGAACAATAGCCTCCTCTTTCCCATTGCGTAAGCTTCCTCGATTTGGGCACAGTATCGCGTTGTGCAGGTTTCCCGGCGAGTCGACGACGGATGGTTCGGTCGGCAATGTTGTATATCTTTGCTGCAGCTCTTATACTTAGTTTTGGGTTGTTCCGAATAGCTTCGATAGCCAAGATTACCCTGGCTTCCTTTAAAGTAGGAGGCATGTTGGGTTGATGAGAAAATTGGTGTTGAGTGTAGATATAACGCGTCGCGTAGAAAAGTGCGGCGCTCGCTTATCAAACACGTTAGTTATTAACACGGAATTCCAGGACAAAGAAAGCCGCACCGGCGGACACGTCTGCTTTGCAACGCAACTGTGTCTCGGCACATTTAGCACAATCGCTGGGCAGCTAAAGACCGAGAGAACCAGCGGCACAGGAACAAAGATGAGTGATCGGAGTTGTTCTGGCCCTGATTTCAGGACACAGACGGCCAGTTTCGTGTATAAACTGGGGTTGCATCCCGTCTAGCTGACCTTTTCATCAAACATCGTCTCACCAACTTGACGTCTTCAACCACTATCGTCTTCACAAAAAACTTTTCCCAGTCATTGCCATGTCTTCCAGCCAAGCCCAAAAACATTCCCTCGAGCGGAAGGATGTTATGCGCGCTCTTATTGAGTCGCGAAGGCTGTACGGGAAGGAACTGGTTGAGCTGTCGTTAACCAACACGGCCATCTACCGGTTAGTATACCTAGAGAAGAGGCTTTACATAATCAGACATGTTCCCTTCCACGCCCAACGCAAGAACCCGATGTGGTGCTACATTGAACGCGACATGCCCGAAGTCCTGAAGGAGGCACTCGAGTTGGCCGAGTTCGAGGATGACAAGCGGTCCGCGAACGGCCAGTTGCTTCATGCCAAGGGGGAATCTTGAGTCCACCTGCTCATGGCATGCTGCATCAAGCACGGAGCAGTTCGATGCTTGGACGTCTTGATGAAATGGGCCCGCATCATGGAGCCTTGGCCAGTCTATGTCAATCACACAGTGAAGCCTCGGCCCTTCAACTACAACCCTGTCTGGTTAATGAATCGGGCAAGGAACGCTGCCTTTGAGACCGGCAGACTTGAATGTCTGCTGTTTCTTCACGATAACGACAAGGAGAAACGCTTTGACGCTCCAGAGGAGACGTACACCGCCCTCACGAGCAAGCCCGCTCCCCTGTCGCCGTGGCCTGGCTCTCGCGCCGCTTGCCCAAGGATACTGACTACATGTCAATTCTTGTCGAGCAGTGCAGCATCAAGTACACCCATCCCGCCGTCGTCGAGACCACGATGGACCTTATCCCCCCTGAGATAATGCGCAACGTCAGCCCCACCCCCTCGAGGCCAAACACTCTCACCCACGCCATCGCGGCCGCGGCGTCCGTCCTCCACATCCCCTTGACTGACCTTCTCTTACGTCGAAAGCCGACAGTCTTCTTCAAAGACGGCACCGCCCTGTGCAGCACAACCGCGCCTAACCCGCTCCACAACGCCCTCTCCTTCGCCTTGCCGGGGAAGCCCCAGGAGAAACCTCGCCGCTTCTGTCTCCGGGTCTACCCTCTTCACCCAGAAGACTTCGAGACACCCGGTCCCCCCGACATAGCCAAGCTCAAGAAAGACTGGATCCACGAGGCCCGCCAAACCGCCTTCTTGATTCACGCCGCAGTTCTCTACCTGCTCGAACAGGCAAAAGTCGAGTTGCAGGGCGCCGCCTCCTCTAGCAAAGGCAACAAGCCAAAACGACAACAACAGCCTCCCGGCCCTAACCAACAACTATTGACCGATCTGCTAGACACAGCAACGCTAGTCTACCTGCACAACCTGCGCGAGTTTTTGTTGAACAATCTCACCTGGCTCCTCTCCGACGTCGACAGCAACAACAATATAAACAAGCTGAGGGACGACCTCCTCACCCCTGCAAGCGCCGCCCGCAAAACAATCTGGTCCAGCACCCCCCTGTTCACCGCCCTGAACAAAAACCACCTCCTCCGTCAACAGCAGCGTGCGCAACGAATCCGCAGCCATCCGGAGATTAAGGAAGTGCCGAAGCTGGAGGAGATTGACTTTGAGAAGCTTGAGCGCAGTGACTTTGAGAAAATTGACTGGAAGAATCTTAATCCGTGGGAGTGGGAGGGGGAGCAAAAGCAAGCGGAAAGGGAGTTAGCTGCGGGCAACCTGGGCGAGACCGCGCTTGACGTGACCTGGCGGGAGGGGCTCTTTGGGGCAGTGGTGCGTAAAAAATTGCAGAGGGAAGGGATTGTGCTGCCGCACAAAGTGGATGAGATTTGGGGATTGTTAGTTACGGAAACTCAGAAGACGCGGGAGATGGCAGGAAGGTACTTGAAGTTGGTGGAGGGAAAGAAGAAGACGAAGAAGACGGTGGGAGAGGGGGATAAGGTGGATTTGTTGTGGGAGTTGCTTGTTGCTGAGGAGAAGGCCGTTGTTGAAGGTGAGGATGAGGTTGAGGCTGGGGTCGAGGGGAAGAGGTGAGTAACCCAATTACTCTGTTTCTTAGATTTCTTCACATTGCGCCTTTGCAGCAGACTGACATTACGGCAGTAACAACTCCCGGCCGGCTTTGGACATTGACACAGCCTCGTGGACTGGGATCGGCCCCGAGGAGGCGACCGACTCAGGAAGCGAAACGGTTCTCACGCCATCCTCAAACTCCGACTCTGACAACGCACCCTGCACTGAAAGACGAGATTTTACCGCGCCAGCAGCTACATATTAACTGCCCAGCTAGACTGAATCAACTCCGTATTTCTTTCTTGACTGGCTCTTCTATCCATCGTGATGTTTGTTTGTTTGCCTACCAGTTAACGATGGTGCAAATACAATCCAGCCCCGGTTTGCTCGTGAGCGTGACATAAAGATGAAATGTAAGAGAAGGAGAAAAAGAAGGAGAAAGTTCCTCTTTCCACTCGATTCGACTTGACGCTTGGTTCTATAAAAATCGGGTATTGCTGCTTCTGCGACCGCGTCTCTCAACAAACTCTTCTTCTCATTATTCCCGACTGCAAGGCCACGTCCGGAGTCAACTGTCCCCAAGACGGCCAGCAATTCACCGCGTCCGTTCAAGACGGCGAAACAGACACGCACATGGTGAAGTCGAAGACTTTACGACGTCGGCCCACGACGCACTGCCCACGGAACCGGAGCTCTGCGGAATCGAAGACCTCAAGTTTTCTGTTCCACTCGTCATCCGTTCGTCCAACATCAGATGGGCTCCGGCTTATTCGCGACCGCCGCCATTGATGCCGGACAAGAGATCTACAACTTAAACCCCATCTTCAAGACTCTAGATGCCGGCCCGGGCCACGAGTCGTTCTGCCACTACTGCTCCGAGGACGCACAGGACGTGCTGGGCAAGGACTCCAAGCCCGTCGCCCAAACGAAGGCCTGCACGGGGTGCGATGTTGCCAGGTTCTGCTCTAAAGTACAATACAAGACAGCAACCCGAGCAGAGAGAGACTGGGCTGACAGTGTGCCAGAAATGTCGGAAGCAGGCATGGACCCTCTTTCACAGAGACGAGCGCAGAATCCTCGAGAGAGTGCCGAAATGTCAGCTCAGACCCTGCTGGCGCACCGCGTGATCTTCTGGCAACAGCGTGGGCGCATCGCGACGCAGGGGGGCAAGTGTTTGAATCGTCTCGAGATGCATTTCAAGAACTTCAACGATGATCTCAATTGCGCCACCGAGCTTCTGTCTCTTTCTTCTCTTTCTTCTCTTTCTTCTCTTTCTTCTCTTTCTTCTCTTTCTTCTCTTTCTTCTCTTT